GGATCCAGTAACACTGGATCCACTGAGTAAAAATTGGTCCTTGTAATTACCTCCAAAAATAGCTAATTCTTCGATGGACAAAAGCCGCAGAGTATCACCTTTAGAAGCAAATTTGAACGGCGCTCATGACAAAAAAATTAGTGGGAAGGAGGGGGAAAACTCTTATTTTCGAACCTTCTTGCCAGTAAATGAGTTGTTTGAAATTACAGCATATTGCAAAGTACAAAATATTGATAAGTGTGAACTCAGAAACAACAAATCACACGGGAAAATTATGTCAAAAACAAACAATGCATTTGTATAGGAATACAAAGCACGTCTGTATTAAAATTTATAAAGTACCATCTCGAGAACACACACACACACAATCACGTGCATTCATACTTATACACATCCATGTACGCACAAAAGCAAACGAACATAACACACGTGCACATATGCGCTCACACACACACACACACACACAAACACGTACACGCGTGAATATATATATATATATATATATATATGTTGGATGCGTGAATGTATGCTTTAATGACTGAATGAAGATATTTCCGGACTGCGGTCTCCCGACAGCGCTTTTCTTTGGAAGGGAGACCTAGAGAAATTTCTAGTCCGACTAAACGCGTCTCCGGCAATACGATCTGGAAATTCTGGACGAAATAACACGTTATGCTCGCATATCGGTCGGTGCACTCTCCTCGATGTCCATCAGTGCTCAGTCTCGGCCCGGTTTCTATCACGAGTTCTTCAGGTCAGAGTGCACTGATATTCACTTGATGGCGAATCTTCCTTCTCGTCCTCCATCTAAAATGAACGAGACTCTCAGTTATATGTTAATTTAGAATTAGGCCAAGTCAGTTCCAATTGAAACCCAGGCTGGAACGCACCAACAAACAATTTTTGTTTAGCGGTCGTTTCTTGAAAATGACCCGGCTGTCCAGTGAGCAATTTCTCCGCTAAAAAATTTAAGTGCCCACACACAAGAACCATGCGTACTTGGCGGTTAGATTTGGAGCCTTCAAGTTGTATTTGGGCGGGAATATTCTCTTAAAATTTCAGCTTTCCAGCTTCTCTGGTTACCGAGTTAGCAAATCTTCCAGTCAAAAATTCTCACGGGGCCGTACGTGAGAACCATGTACACCTGGTAGCTGAATTTGATAGCTTTAAGTTGTGCATGGGCAGGAAACATACTCTTAAATTTTCGGATTCGCAGTTTTCCTGATTCGTGAGTCAAACATTTTTCTGCTAAAAACTCTCATGGGGCCGTACATGCGAACCACGCATGTCAGAAGATTGAATTTGGTAGGTTTAAGTTGTACATGAGCTAGGAGCATCCCCTTAAAATTTCAGCCTTCTAGCTTTCCTGGTTCCCAAATTAGCGATTTTCGTGCCAGGCACCCTTACAAAGCCGTACGCGGGAATAACGCACGCCTGAAACTGAAGTCTTTGAATTCTATGTGGCGGGGAATATAACCTCAAAATTTCAGCCTTTTGGCTTTTCTCGTTTTAAGTTAGCAATTATCTCAGCAAAATTTTCACGTGCTCGTACGCGGAGCCCAGACGTGTGAAAGGGTTGGTACCGCATCTGGGGGTGGCACATGGCCGGGGAACCAACTGGCAAGATTTTGTCGCCGGAACTTACTTGGTTGCCGAGTTGAAATACCCGGCAAACGAAAAACACACACACATATATACACATACACACAAATACACACAAACATACACACACATGCACAGACAAGGTCGTCGCAATATGCATTTCTGCAATTTGCATATAGGCAAAAACGCATAAAAACTGTTATGTGTTAAATTCCAGAACGATGCTGAATACAAATGTTACTTGCCAGATCAACACAATTGCCTGAAAACACCGCAAGTTATCAAGATCGCACATTACTTTGCATACGTGCGAAACGTTTAGCTGCTTATGAAGCTACTCGGCAGTCAGGCAAATATTACTACAACTTACGATTGGGCAGACACAACTGAAGACATTTGAAAAAGTCACTAGAAATGTACTCTTCTCGGGCATTCTCTGGCAAGATCGCCACTTCTGCAACAGAGGTCCAAACATACGGTCCATTCGCAGCTCCGCCGAAAACGCCGTTCGTGCGAACTTACGCTTCACGTGGAATGAGCGCCACAACAGGGTGCAATCTATTATGTGATCGTACGCGCTGCACAAGCGTGCGCAACAGCTGAATCTAAAATCTTTAGCTTGCACATGCACAGAGAATATCCCTACGAAGTTTCAGTTTTGCGCCTTTCTTAGTTCGCGAAATCGCTTCCCGTCAAAGAAACTTGCATATCTTTTCGGGGTTTCACACGCGGGGTCTAGGCCCGTATGAGCGAAAATTTTAAGACTTGGAGGTATGACACACGGGATAGAAACATATATCAAAAATTTCAGCTTTCCAGCTTTCCTGGTTGCTGGAATAAAGTGAGTGGCAAAGTTCACTCGCTTCAGAACACACACACGCAGACGACCTCTCGATACAGCTACATGCTGTAGCAGCTGCAGAGCTGTACAGCAAAAACGCCTTAAAAAACTGAAAACTCACGTTTCGCATAACTTCGGGAATATTTGTTAACAAGTAGGTTGTTTTGATGAACAATTTTAAGAATATCATTATATTATGTGTTGCTACTGACTGAGTGGATGCCGCTGCCAGTCCGATAGGCAAGTCGTAGGTTCGCAACTTTCTGGCTTTTCTCAAAATATCGACGAATTTTTTCAGAGAACTTTTTCGTTCGCATAGCTCAATTGCGCTTGAAATTTACCTATGTGACACAAGCTAACGCTCGTATTCGGCGCATCAACGCATACTGGTTGCGTTTTAGCAAAAATGTTCGATGTTGCAGGCCACCAAGTTTAAAATTTTTCAATTTTTCACTCTTCAATCCTGTAGCACAAAATCAGCCCAGCTTTCGGTAACTCGCCAAATTTTCAGATTTGGACAAAGCTTTTCAAAATGCTGTTTTCCAACTTTTCAACTTCCCTTTGAAGTTCCTCGGACCTTGCAGAAGCCCCACCAAAAACCACGTTACGCACGCACCGTTCGTGACGCGGTGCCACACTTGTTAACAAGCATGCTGTTTTGTTGAATAATTTTAAAAATATCATTATATCATCTGTTGTTATCGATGAGCGGATACTTGATGCAGTCCTGACTTTTTCTGGTCCTAAAGAATTTGTCCAAAAAGTAATTCCCTTTTCAGAGAATGGGACAATAGCTCCCAATATTAGACTATGGTTTAATCTTTGTTAACTAGTTTAAGTGTGACAGCCAATCAATTTCGGAGTGTTTGCGTGTCAATGCAAAACAGCTGCAAAACCCGAAAGCTCAAGATTTTGGAAAAATATTTGTCCGCTCTGCAGTTAGCCACATATCTAAAATTAACTTCCAGCCTTTCCCAGCGCTACGTCAATGTTCTTTTACTTTTCATTTTTTCATATTTTTCGCAAACCGCTTTTTATTGTGTGAGTTTTTAAAGCGCATGTCTTTTTGGCTTTTAAACAGGCGCGTATTGGTCTGCTGACTTTTGTTCGTTCCATTCGAGCTTTATCGGATGAAATGTGGCAAATGCCATCACCGCGCGTATTGGGGGTGTCAGAATTTGTCGGTGACTTGGAAGTGCCTAATCTGTTGCAACTTTCATATCGCAGTGAGATGCCGAGGATTCACGGTTAAGTTCTTTTGTTAACAGAAGTGAGTGGAGAATAGCTACTTAGAGCTCTGCTGCATCTTCCTTATGAATTTTTTAGAACCAAGCGCTGAGCGATGCGAAGTTCTCATGTTTCAGCTTGAGTTGTCAATATGTTTTGTGATTTGAAATCCGTTTTTGCTAGATTTTAACTTTTGATTTCATGCCTAAACAGGTAGCAGTGTTTTATAAGCGAAGAAAGCTGCTAGAAGTGAGGGAGATTCTGATACCTACTGCACTCAGTTGGACATAGTTTACAGACCATACACTGTGTGCCCGAAGCGTACATGATCGATGCTACAAACCATACTGTTTATGGGAGACTGATGCTTTTGCATAGCGCGTCTGAATGCTCATCACTTTGTTAAAGAAAGCTCAGCTTAAACTCCATTTGCCCTTTTTATTCAAAGACCCATAAAGAATAAGATTAAATTAAATCACACAGATATTGCCATATCATTGAAAAATGGGTGCCGGTTTATGTTCAACATAAATTACATGTGCGTCTGCAACGCGTCCTCATCAGCTTCGAGTATTTGTTATCGCTACAATAAGCTTTGTAATCTGCGCAGTCCTTGGCGGTATCCTTGCAGTTGCAGCGCGTGCATGTAGCCACACATTTAACCCACTGCTCGGTACTGGAACAATTTGCAAAGGAACAGGCCGATCCTCCCACATTCTTACAGCATTTCGCTGTGGCATCATTAATTCCACACGAACGTTTGCACTTGTATCTCATAAGCACCTGAGTTTTTCCATTAGAGCACATTCCCAACATAGCAAATTTGGTACAGTTTTTCGACTGGTCCAGGTTCTCGCACGGATCTGAAACAATACTGCCGTTAGTTGTGCTAATAACTGCACACGAAAACGCTTGAGAATGTTCTGTCAACTGCCTAGAAAAAGTGGTTGGTAATCTTGCAGCTCAATAGCGGCCGTCAACACAACTGGACTCATATGTAGTGGTCAAACGGTGGTTAAATGAAGAGCCAAATTTACGGTCCCCGTTTAATTTCAGACATAATTAACGCTGGCTTCAGCCATCGCTACGTCAGAATAATTACGCCTCCAGCTGAAAGCCAATGCACTTAGCTCCTTGTCTCCTCTACAGTTGGTGCGAATCTTGCTTTGTGGTTATTGCCATCTCAAAATTTGATATTCTTGGTAAATTGTAAACAAACAACCAGGAGCATAAATGAAGCTAAAACATCGAGGGAAAAGAGATAATCTCAACACTTTGGAAGAGCCTGTTACACCGTTCGCAGCTACGAATGCTTTCTGTTTCTGGAGCATTATTGGATTGCTTGCCTTACTTTTACTACCATTCTTACCTTTTTCACTCGTCGTACCAGTGCTTGCTCCGGTTCCTGTAGTACCTGTACCTGTGCTCCCTCCGGTTCCGGTAGTACCTGTTCCAGCGCTTCCTCCGGTGCCGCTAGCACCAGTGCTTCCTCCAGTTCCGCCAGTACTCCCGCCCGCACCACCAGTGCTTCCTCCAGTTCCGCTAGTACTACCGCTTGCGTTACCAGTGCTTCCCGCAGTTCCGCCAGTACTCCCGCCCGCGCCACCAGTGCTTCCTCCAGTTCCGCCAGTACTCCCGCTTGCGTCACCAGTGCTCCCTCCAGTTCCGCCAGTACTCCCGCTTGCGTCACCAGTGTTTCCCCCAGTTCCGCCAGTACTCCCGCCCGCGCCACCAGTGCTTCCTCCAGTTCCGCCAGAACTCCCGCTTGCGTCACCAGTGCTTCCTCCAGTTCCGCCAGTACTGCCACCTGTGTCACCTGTGCTACCAGTGTTTTCACCCGGAGCAACAGTGCCCGGTAGTGTGGCGAGTACAATTAGCAGGCAAAAAATTAATGGCTTAATTTTGTGATACATTGCGCCAGAAATTATGTCCTGAAATTATAAAATATTGGTGTACGAATTAAAAAGCAATATTCCAAACATCTATAGTTCACTTCCTCGTTGTCCAGCTATGCACCTCAGAACTTTTGCCACTTCCTCTCAGCAGGTGTTGCGTGGTCCGGTTGTTAGTGATCCAAACATTCGTTTTGCTTCTTGAAGAAAACACGAACTCATTGGTTCCTACTAAAGGAACCATTTGTCAAAGCTTTAGTTATTTCGAAATAACACTAGCACCGTGGCCTCGTCTGAAACACTGCCAAACGAGGCCTCGGTGGCCAGCCCACTCTTAACGACCGCAAGTTGCTAGTAATTAATCTGTAAATTACTGTGCTATTAAATGCCAGACAAGTGGAATCTTCCAACTGCTACAATTAAATTTACAAATCAGCTACAGAACACCACCAATGTCATAATGTGTTTCTCACATCAGCTAAAATAGCAGTGAACTAACACTGAGCCACCTCATTATTCGCCATTTGGAGTCATACTATCAAGAATGGAGCGCATTGTAGCACATATTCCCTCTGAACTCCCCACATGCACAGTTTCGGTTGAACCCTCAAATGTCTGGACTACTCGTCTTTGCAACATGCTGCATTAAATTGAAAACCCTTTGACGTATAGATTACAGTATTTTTAGACAAAAAATACATAATTTATTTGTTAAAAACTGTTGTAATCTTAAGAATTCTTCAGTTGCTGTTCGTTTCTGCTTTTTTAGCTAAGTGGCATTTCGTGGAATGTCCTACAGTGAGTTTGGTTTATCGAAAATGTTTAGAGCGTTGGAAACTGGTTTTTTTTGGTATGGCGGTTCTTGCTCACAAACATGGTTTTTTTCCTCTAGGTATCTTTACGAAGAAGATAGAAAGGCCCATATCTTAATTTCTGGGGAATAGCTTGCAATTTTCTGAAAACACAGGCCAACTGCTGGAAAACAGATCGAGTTCACCAAGTACAGTTGCCCCGTCTCGGCTAGGAAGCAACATATTGTGCCAATTGACAAAGGGACATTGGTATAGGAGGGTTAAGGCGTCAAGTCGGTGGGAGGAAAATGTCGGAATGATGAAAGCCTCAGGATGCGGATGTTTATATGCGGATAATATCTTTGCACACCTGATTTGGAAGCGTCGAGACTTTTTTTTTTAAAAGAATAACGTTTCAAATTTAGGCAAGGGCTCTCAGTGAAAGTGCGGGAAGAGTGCAAGCAGCCAGTACTGCTAGTTTTTCGAAAAATTATTGAAAGCCGAAATTGGTGCAAAAAAAAAATTAATTAAATCAGAACTTGGTAGAATGAATTTTTGTTCAGCTGCAAGAACTTTGGGGTCTTATTTGTCTTCAATTCATCAAGCGATCATCACACCCCCGTATTTCCGGACTTCACTTTATCGGTGTCTTTCCAAATTTTTGTGACCCGCTCTTTTCAAAAAGCATAATGTATGGCGTGGGCGCAGTGAAACGTTGGTATTTGAAATTGCTTTCAAAAGCATTTCGAAGCTGTTTCTGAAAAATACACCTTGAAACGCTATCCAGTCAAGGTTTTTGTTTTATTTACAGATCCCAGTCTTTATCCGGTTCGACACAGCTATTCACGAATCCATAGGGCTACTTGGCACTCCTAAACTCCAGCTGCAAGTGGCAAAATTCTTCCTTTCATCAAAAAGATGAAATTCCTCTTGCATTCATTCACTATTGGATTCAGAAGTATTCCGACTGATAGCGTGTCAACAAACTGCTGACGAAACAGCCGATCGGTCTTTTAAGGATTGCTTGGAAGCAAACTAACGGTGCTTTTGACTTCTTCGCATTTGTTACTACCGGTTTATAATTTGAAACGCATGAAGGAGCCATGAATAATGGGTCCACCGTCGAAGCCGAACCTAGACCATCTACCGAGGGCAACACTATTTACCACCTGCAGGAATCCTTCAGAATTTTTCATAGG